AATTATCGTCATGCAGATTTGAATATTTGCAGAAACCCCCGCAATACAAATGGACGATTCCTTCAAAGGGCGAGAACGTGCATTGGAGAACACAATTAACGAGCAAACTCTTAACCCGGAAGTTACTTACAGATCCCTAGATGACCTCTTTTAAAAAAACCTTCGTCGTTTCTACAAATATTATAGTAAGTTGATCGCCAGTTTGGGTTATTTGATGTCACCAGATGTTAAAAATCTGACTTCGTTCGTACAGTTCGGCGATTTACGGCCAAGTACCTTGAGTTTTAAGGTAGGTCTGTCGACAAATTAGTATAAACAAGTATGACAACGAAATGGATTTGTTATTTTGTTGACGATCCCTCGATCGTTAGGTCCTTACAGCAAGTCTCGATCGTTAGGCCCTTACAGCAAGGCTCGATCGTTAGGCCCTTACAGCAAGTCTCGATCGTTAGGCCCTTACAGCAAGTCTCGATCGTTAGGCCCTTACAGCAAGTCTCGATCGTTAGGCCCTTACAGCAAGTCTCGATCGTTAGGCCCTTACAGCAAGGCTCGATCGTTAGGCCCTTACAACAAGTCTCGATCGTTAGGCCCTTACAGCAAGTCTCGATCGTTAGGCCCTTACAGCAAGTCTCGATCGTTAGGCCCTTACAGCAAGTCTCGATCGTTAGGCCCTTACAGCAAGTCTCGATCGTTAGGCCCTTACAGCAAGTCTCGATCGTTAGGCCCTTACAGCAAGTCTCGATCGTTAGGCCCTTACAGCAAGTCTCGATCGTTAGGCCCTTACAGCAAGTCTCGATCGTTAGGCCCTTACAGCAAGGCTCGATCGTTAGGCCCTTACAGCAAGGCTCGATCGTTAGGCCCTTACAGCAAGTCTCAATCATTAGGCCCTTACAGCAAGTCTCGATCGTTAGGCCCTTACAGCATGTCTCGATCGTTAGGCCCTTACAGCAAGTCTCAGAAGTGTTAGGGCACCTTATTTGCAAACTCGCTAGCGAATTGGCTAACTGATTGAATACAACCGAACTCAGCCAGATTTTAACTCGGCCGAGCAAATAATGCACAACTCGGCCAGTTGTGAATGTCGAGGTGTAAACTGGTCATTGGTCGACAATTATCACCTTCTTTCATGTCTGTTGGCGTGGCGGCATTTCATTTCCAGATGTTATATGCTACACAGCACTAGCAGTGACGCATCCGCTTCACTGACCGTTTTTGACTGACCTCCCTTGGCTATTTTGTTGTCGATTTCAACGACGCAAGTTTACACACACACACACACACACACACACAATCTTTTCAGCAATGCTACCGGTTCTCCGGCATGTTGTTGATTTCAACAACTATTGAAAACTGACTGTTGTCGATTTCAGTGACCAAGTTTCCAAAGAAAAAAACACATGCATAACATCTGATACACAACATCACACCGGCGATCCGTCTGCTATGTAAAAACACCAAAATTAATGTTTCAATTTGTAGCAATTTCGTATGAAGCAACATTTTATTGTGTGATCCTTAATGCATTTTATTTTTCAGATCCATTACAAAATACTGTGAAGATTTTCGAGTTACATTAATAAATCACTACTGTATAGAAAAACTACATTTTATGGTAAAATAAACTACTAGTAAATATAATAATGGACTATGCTTGAGTACAGTTCACATGGTCTTGACTCATGGCACCATGAATAAGGGCAAATACATCGCACTTGTAAGGTACGAGTTATTGGTAAATAAGGGCAAATACACCGTTCTTATAGGATACAAGTTGTTAGTAAATAAGTGCAAATACACCGTTCTTGTAGGATACAAGTTGTTGGTAAATAAATGCAATTACATCGCACTTGTAAGGTACGAGTTATTGGTAAATAAGTGCAAATACTCGTGCTTGTAAAAAGTTCAAGATCGGTAAACAAGAAATGGACAAACTAAAATGTCTCCTGTGTTTCATGTGCGACATGATTATTAAAAAAACAGCGATCATGTACGTTCTATAAATTGAAGCTTGCACACATAATCTTGTATTGACAAGTTTTTTTTTGTCAAAAATGATGTTCCCTATATGTTTACTCTTTGCGTTCATGGTATTTGTGAGAGTTAAACGATTTTTTGAACAAATGTTAAGTAACTATATCGATTTGCGACAAGCTGGATGGCCCGAATTTAAATGTCAGTTCGTGAACTATGGAGGTCATTGCCCATTGCTGCACGTAATTCAAACACGTGGTTATTAGAGTTCAGTCGAAAAGTACGGGAATAATGTGATCGGTGTGCGCTGCGAGTTTATTATAGACAAATTTAACATTACGCATGGTATTGTATGTTATTGTATGATTAATATTACATATTCACTTAATTTTGAATAAAATAATTCACCATTGGTACATTGATGAATCACAAATATTTAAAATATTTTCTCAACTTTCGGTAGACACCTGACTACTATCTTTTTCAATGATAAATGCGCCCATATTTGTGTTTATTGCGAATGCAACGCATTATCAAGTCAGTAATATACCCCGGGTTAGTGTCCCAACAATAGTTAAAATAATTTAGTTTGCGTAATTATTATAAAAGCAATACATTGCAATGTTGAAGTATTTAGAGCCCGTGCAATATTGTAAACATATTTGCATTATTAGAAAAGCAGCACACTAAGTAAAGAATGTTGTAATACAAGTTGGGTTTTTTACAGTACAATTTTACTAGATCGACGCGCGAACCACGAAAGAAAAAGGTTTCTAATGTATTAAAACACTTTGAATTTATACTTACATGTATGCGTGATTATATTTGGTCTACGCGAAACATTAATCTTTCTAAATATTTTTTGAGACCATGCATTATGTATATTCACAAAATAATACGAGCATATTTTATATTATGCTGATTTCTACGTCTTTCTAGATCACTTTGTGATTTCATTTCAAGGCTCAGGAAAATAAAATAATGTCAATGTTATAGTCTAGTTTTCAAGCCAAATTGATTTAATGTTTCATTGCAACTTTGTGATTCTTATAATTTCCCAGTTCTTTGTGTTCATTAATGGTCTTGACAATAAGTGTGAATTGCTATGCGGTCGACTGACGAGCGCCGACCTCCACTGTGGCACAGTCCCTTTATAGAGGGACTGTGACTAAGGTAATGAGCGCGTTGCACTGCCCGTTTGATTTCCTACTCTCCCCTAAAGGAGAGTGTATTTATTCTGTGACGTAATTTTAGAGTTGTCTATGAATCGTGATAAAACATGCATTGCTATAGCCTATTTTGCATTTTACGTTTCATTTTCATTTCGACTTCTGGTCTTAATTTATTCACGCAATTCCCCCATGGAAACACATTCAAACGAACCACAGAAAATGCGGACCCTGAGTGAAACTGAAATGTATTTCTCGACAACCAGAAGCACAACATGCAAAGAAACAGTTTATTTGTTTATTTACTGATAGACTAATAAAACTATTTTGTCTGCCTACATAAACTGCTACATTCTTTTCCTCTGTCGATTAACGTTCTCAATTCATTACGCAACAAACCACAAATGTGCATTCGAACCATGACTGAAACAGATTGTAATTAGAAAAAAACAGCGCTTGGTACTGCATCACTGAAACCGACAATCTTTGTGGCCATATTTTATTTTTCACCATGATATATGACTCGGGCAATCTGTACTTTGTTAGAATTAAAAACACTCTTGTACTTTGTCAGAAATTGACACAGCGCTTGCAGCTGCGTCACTGAAATCGACAACCGTTGCCGCCCGTGCATTTTTTATATTTTACTGTGATATGACTCGGTCTGTAATACAGCGTTCTCTGCTGCGTCACTGAAATCGACACCCATTAACACCCATTTACAAACCCATTAACACATATGCTGGGCGAGCTCAGGCACTGGCCGAGTTAGAATCTGGCCGAGTTCGGCGGTCACCAACTGATTGAGTTTTGTCTTTTGACAGTTTGCTTTCGAATTTCGATGGCGCCGACTTGTGGTCTTGCCCACTCTTGGCGAATCTATATTTTATTAGAGGACATAGAACGATTTTATGTATAATTCTGTAAATTGATTGGAATTGGGGATTTAATGTGGTTACATCGAAGAACAACTAAATTTCAACGACTTGGTGATACTAGGAGATTTTGTGTTGGAAAGTGTTCAATAATAATAATGATAACTTGTGCTGTATGGTAAGGATACAGATCAGAAACAAACAAAAAGTTTCAAAATTACAAATAAGATACAGATTCACAATTAGGTTTTATAAATTCTGTTTTTTAAGTATTTTGCAAGTGCAGTACTGCTATTTAAAATGCAAGTGAATATTAAATTTTGGTTAGCTGTATTACACATCTTTTAATTTACAGTCTTCTAAGAGGGTATTTCTTTCTTTAAAGAAGCAACAGTCAAGGATGAAATGTTTTTCATCTTCTACAGTACCTGTGTTCCATTTCAAGGTGGCCTACAGCGAGTCGTTGAGATTTGTTTATGTTGAAATGGGGTATCGCAATTTGTGCTATTCTACGTGAAAGCATTCTATGTTTGTTACTGCAATATAGACTCACCCAGAGTGAAAGCAGCAACAAGTCAGCCCCAGCCAGATTTGAATGGCAACTGTTTAGTCAAAACCCAAGCAGTTAACCAATTCACTAGCGAGTTTGCAAATTGGCTGCCCCAATACTTCTGAGACTTGCTGTAACTAGTACATTTCAAGGTGGCCTACAGCGAGTCGTTGAGATTTGTTTATGTTGGCGTGGTAGTTATTTTGTTGTAGAATTTGTAGCTCCACAATATCACAAGGAACTGACGATCCTGATATCACTTAGCTGCGGTTTCGTGGCTCTATAGCGCGACCTACAATTGAATTTTGCCCTAACAATTTGATTTGGAAGTCTTCTTTTAAATTCGGCTGACAAAATAGGGCTATGATTCCACAGCTAGATACATTGTATGACTGGTGTCTACTAGAAGCAAATCGCAAAATATTTGCCAGCTCTAAGCTTGCATTCATATGTCCCAGCTTAAGTTGATGACAATTTCTATTTGTGACCAAAAACAAATAACAACAAATGCATTTTTATGATACATGTATACATGTACACGTATAAAATGTCTGAATTTGAGAATATCAGCAATTCAGATTAGTAGCATGATATATTTATCAACCTATCATTGGTCACTCTCTGACTACATGTATACATGTAGGTACAAAAACAAGGCAGCATTTCATTGTTAGTATGAGAGGACAGAATGACTCGCACAAATTAATAGGAAGGAAACCAGGCTAGTGAGTGTATAACTATTCAACTTACAAAATTGCTTGAACAAACTGTCAAATTACTGTAACCAATAGAATATGGTAAACATAAATAAAACAAAAGTAATGGCTTTCAACAGAATTATAAAAAATCTTAAATTCACAGAATTTTGTTACTTTGGTATAATGAGATGTTTAAATTAGAGCAATCAATGTAGAAAGAATTCTGCAATGAAGGCGTTATTTAGTGTCCCACATTCAATACTGAATCGACCAATCATAATGTATGGTGCTGAAATTTGGGCTGACGAGATATCAAATGATAACAATATTTTAGAGCAAGTGAGTAGTTGGTTTTACTGCTTTATACTTGGTGTCAGTAAATACTGATGCCAACTATTAGTGCAAAAGCAGAGTTAGGTAGATTTCAAATTAGAATAAGAACAAAAATTAAATATTGGTATAGACTTAGCATGTTTGCTTTAAATGAAAACAAAGCAATGAAATCAAAGTGGATAAAACTTATTGAAAATATTATTGGTCATGAGGATCTGGATGAAGGTAAAGAACAGCACAATGTAGACAATATTAGCCAGTTATCAAACATTATAAAAGTGAAAT